TGATACAGAGTATTTTAGATACAAATTGATTAATCTATAAAATTAAAAAAATGAAATAATTGAAATTAATAAATACTCGTATAAAGTAAAATCAAGATAAAAAAACATGGCATTTTGAGATTAAAACTCATAGCATTTTCAATAAATAACCATGACATTTACGGGTATAAAAAGATGGCATTTAAAGTAATTTTGCCATCTGTTTGATAAGTTATTGCCAAAAAATGGAATTTATTGTCAAGTGGCTTTAAAATGGCACAATATGCCATAAAACTGATCTTTTAGATGCAAATTGTTTAATCTAAAAAACTACAAATGAAGTAATCGGAAGTTGATAAATATAAAGTAAAATTTAGTAAATTAAAATTTTCAATTAGGGGACGTTCTTGTTTTATATTTTATATAAAAAAAAAATCTAGATCCAATGTACTCCGTAGCATTTCTTAATTCAGAATCTTAAAATTAAATTTTAGAATTTCAAATTAAATAAGGGAAAATGGAAACTAATAATCCAACCTTTTAGCGGTCTTCTTTCAATAATCCCACCTTTTGATTATTCATAAATAATCCAATCTTTGCACCTCATCTTCATTCACTGGTCCCTAATCGGTTAATGACTTACTATTCCAAGTTATTTTTTTATCTTTGCAAAATATTATAGATGAGATTTATGGTATAATGATTTGCAAAGATAAGAAAATAGCTTGGAATAGCAGGTCATCAACCGGTCATGAACTAGTGAATGAAGATGAGGTGCAAAGGTTGGATTATTCATGAATAACCCAAAGGTTAGATTATTGTAAGAAGACCGCTTAAAGGTTGGATTATTAGTTTCCATTTTTCCATTAAATAATATAACTTATGGAAAATAAGAAAATATCCGAAGAAGAAAGAAAAAGGTGGGAGAAGATGAAGAAAGGAAGAAAAAGAAAAAGAAGAAGTAGAGATACCTTTCACATTCGATACTATCACCGGAATTCTTCGGAGATGAGAATATTTTTTGTCCTGCTCTGAATTTCACAATACATGGAGAAATTTTTGAATCTATCTATAGCATAAAGTTGAGAGGTGCCGTGATTTGAGATTTTGAGGAGATATCAATTAATGAGGCATAGGTGAAGAAAGAAGAGTTAATACGGAGTAGAGAAGAAAGAAAAAAAACGTAGATGGAGACAAGTGATGCAGGAAGAGATAAGATCAGAGCAACATGGGAGAGAGAGATGAGCGGTTGGGCGGAAGATGGCTGACAGACTGGACAGTACTGGAACAAAACATTAAATATAGATAAGGGTAAAATAGGAACTAAACTCCTATTTCGGGAATTTGTATCATCCGGTCCTAGTATTGCATATCTGTTATGTTTTACTCTTATATTAGTCAATTTCTTGAAACTCAATCCAAAACAATCATAGTTTGATCTCAAATGTTTTCCTAAGATAAGAACTTTATTTAGAGTATGAATATTGAAATAAGTGATGTAGTACCATTGTATTATAATGAGTAACTTTGTGTTCATGCTTTCAAAAAACTTTGTGTTCCTTTTTACACCACCCGCCGTAATAGAGAATCACAACATTAGTTTATGATGCTTTTATATGATAAAATTGGTCCTTCCTTAATAAATCAGAATGAGTTTTTTTTACTCCACGGGGGTTGAGGGAGGGGGCTGGGGGACTGGAGTAATCAGGGTTGAAACTCACTCCATTGAGTATCGAACTCTTATGTGCCTAGCGGGTTTCAAACTCAAGACCTCTCACTAAGCAGAGTAACCTCACAACCAGGTGGACTGGAATGTTTGGTTTAAATTAGAATGAGCATGTATAGCTGAACTTACATACCGAGTATAAAGAAAACTATAATAAAGCAATTAAATGAATGTAGACACTACAAAAGGCTTTTGTATGTCAAAGTTGTTTCCTCACATGATATTTGGTTTAGAGTCCTAAAATATTAAATGTGTCAAAAAAATTTAATATCATGGTTAATTTTGACACATTTAATATTTTAGGACTCTAAACCAAATATCATGTGAGGAAACAACTTTGACATACAAAAGCCTTTTGTCACCAAAAAATGGCACATCGACAGAGTTTGATCTATCTATGACTATGTAAAGTCATGTCTAACTCCTTATCTTTTAGATTAGAATATTATTCAATATATTAACCATTTAACCCAAATCTTAAAATCTAGTGGTTTGGAACGCCAGAAGGTCAATTTTAAATTAAACTTCACTCTGACATAGAGGTAATTTTATTTCAAACTAATAAATTTATTACGTCTACAATTGAACGAGGTCCATCTTGTTTTTTTTTGGAATGGTACATCTTGATCATAACTCAAATTTGTGAACTTTCACAACCCAAAACATGGGCGATAAGCTTTAATCATGATTATGTTTTTTAAACAAAACGTTTCCATTTGGAACTGTCAAAACGCACTCACCTCTATCATATGTCATCAAAATATTTACATGAATCGCCAAAGTTAAAAACTAATGAACTCAATTTCGATTAAAATCATTACCTCAAGTTCCTCAACCAGGGACGAGTCTGAAACTAAAAATAAAAACAAATGGAGAAGGTTCAAATCACTAGTAAAGACTAAAGTAAATCAAACCACAAGAAGAAAGAAAAAAAACGAACAAAATCACAGTTGTTTGTGTGTGAGAGTGAAGGGTTACCCACTTACTCTCTAAGGAGCCCAGACAAATATAGTTATAATAGAGAGATATTGTTTTAAAATACATAAATGACTCTAGTGTATAAGTTTGTTATGACTTTTGGATTTCATCTCTATAAACATAATCAAACAAATCGAATTTTTAAAATATGTTATTTTATTTATTAAAGTAAGCAATAATCACTTATATATTTTTTGATAAAATTACATGTATATAATATAAGTAAAGTAAATGTTGTTTGCAAAAATATGACATTCCAAATGTAATGCTTATAATAATAAGGAAAAATTGACATCCCAAATGTAATTTATGTTGAACTTTTATGTGACTTACGATATTTTGATAATCTAAAAGATCTCAAAAAGATTAATAATACTAATTATACAAGAATTTAATTTCAAAATTTGATAAAACCAAACTAAACTTTTCACTTTAATTTGACATTTATTTAAATTTAGTTTATGACTAAACCATCTAAACAACCCTAACCAGGAGAAGTTTGGGCTTTGGACTCGCAAGTATAATACTCCCTCTGTCCCCCTAACTTTGACCCGTTTTACCTTTTTTGTCTGTTCCATTAAGTTTGTCTCATACCTTATTTAGTAATATTTGAGTGGTTAGAATTCATTCTTACTTTATTCACACTTTATCAATTCAATATCAACCACACAATTTCACTTTTTCTTAAAAACAATACTACCCCTTTGTCCCAAACTTAGAGGGACGGAGGTAGTATCAAGTATAACAACCCACCCGGCCCGGGACCCTTACAAAGCTCATAAAGTACTACTGTCTCCGGAGTCCAGACACAGTTCAAGCAATTACTCATCCCCCTATTGCCAAATAGGGATGGACTGGAACGGGTCGGCGCCCATCCCAGTGAACCGGACCGGGATTGGGACTGAGGTCCGAACCATGGGGTTAAACAGGCAACTATGGGCTTTGAAAAGAGGTAGACTGGCCCGAACGGGCCCAATTAAATTTTATTTTTATTTTTTGGCATTGGGTTGGGTGCTAGATGGATGGGGTTGGGCGGTTTAGGGTGGAGTGGGGGTGGGCCGAGCCGATACTAGGCCTGAATATTTTGGACCCAAAGCCCGCCCTAGATCCCAGTCCAACTTGGTTGACCTCTATTCCTAAATAATAACCAAATTACCATCTCTATTAGAAAAATCGTGAGACTTATTTTTAAAAATAATAAATCATGGAGCACACTGGTTTAAAAAACTATATAAACAGCATAATATTAGGACTGGGCAAGATGGTTTGGTTTACCAAACCAAACCGAAAATTGATTTGGTTTAGGTTCATTTAAGCAAACCGTTTGGTAAGGACTTGCCCAAACCGAGTGATTTGATTTGGTTTGATTTAAAACCGAAAAACCGTAAACCAAATGTCGAACTACTTTAATATACACAAACACACATGCACATATTTCCATTTAGCATATACTACATTTTAACTGCATTCATTTTATTTGGAGTATCATTTTAACTTCTTTTACACATTTTCTACATTCATTATGACAAAGTTAGCTACTATGATATATTTGTTTTTGTTATGTTTCACAATCTACCTGCATGAAAAGAAATTCGACGATAACAACAGTATATTACATTTATATATTTTTATACATGATTCATTTGAATAAAATTGGGAATATTACACCATTTGTTCATCTAACTCACTTCGTTCTCTTTGAATATTTTATGTGATATGTAGTACTACGTATTATAAATGCTAATCAACCATATTTTTATGTGACAAGTAAATCCTTTTCTAGTGATCAAAAAAATGTTTAAAGTTTTAATGTCATCAATGTCGGTAAGAAAATTAAGTGTTAATTTATAATATTTTATTATTTCTTTTTCTATCCTTCATTTAAATAATAAATACAAAAAGATAAGATGAACTACTACTTTCGTTTTTTTCTAATTCTAAAATATAGAACTTGATCAAATAAAATAATAAACATAAAAAACCAAATCAAATCGAACTAAATTGAACCCTAATAATTTTCACTTGGGTTTTAGTTTGATACAAATTTTCTCTAACCAAAAAAAGCAAAACCAAAGAAAACCGAATTGTCCACCCCTACTACATATAATGAGAATCAAATGAGGAGTGTTTATCACAAGTAATGAAAATAAATTCAATGCATTATATTTAAGATCCATCAGCCTTTAAAATGCAAAAATGTTCAAAAATGATGAGTGACATGATGTCAGAATTCAGATTCGTAATTAACTCGGACTTTCTACACATAAATGTGCATCAAATAAGCATAAAATGCAATAGAAAAGAGTAAAACTGAAATTGCAGACTTCTCATTCCTCTCATTAATGCTAAGATGTCTTCTTATTAGAGCTAACCCTATACACATATGTTTATGTACGTGTATATGCACACATGTTTATGTACGTGTATATGCACATTCAAGACTAGGACATTTACCGATATTTCACCGGTCTCCTATGAGCATTGAGCAAGATGACAATGAAAATTAAGATCTACCAGCAAATAAATTGTCAACTAATCTTAGGAACTTCGGTAACGATTGCAATTTTAGGTATGAATAAAAATTGAACAGTTTTAAGTCATATCCCTATGTACGGCACATCTATCTGGATTTCCATCTCGCATAGAAGATGGGAAACAAAGGATGTCACCAACTAATGTCTTATCTTCATATCAAGATTTTTCAGATAGGCAGGCAAAGTACACCCATGAAACGTTAAATAAAAACTAAGGCCTGCAAAACATGGTGAAGAATCCACAGGATTGGGCAGCAAAGCTTTTCAGCAACAATCAACCCCATATCAACCAAACCATATCATCAACAGCAAAAAAAAGTGGAGCATCAGATTGCTGCATATAGCTAGTAGGCAGCAAGGGAGGGTAAACAGCATTCAGCAACCAACAATCAATCTACAAGATACATCAGCTACTATCACATCACAGCTACAGCCGCGAACTCATGCTGTAACATAGTACAACTACCATTAGAATTATCTTTGGGTCCCACTGCACTTATTTATAACATAAAATCAAGTGTTGAACACTACACCCCTCATCCTACCACTTAAGGAAGCAAAATCACAGCTAAGATTTAATTTCATTTGCGATTAAAAGGAATTAATCCCTATTTGAAGTCAGTAAGTTGCAAATCCTTACCATCCCTGGCAAGTGAGTAAAGTTGATTAGTGGGAGTTTGCCAGCAACAAAAAACATGCTAACCAACAGCAAATTAAAAACAGCACCAACATGCTACTGCTACTTCATCTTGCCAGTCAGCCACATCAACACCTCCGCACATAACTATTTAAGACCAGCAGATAGTTGTTAATGACTATTGAGAACTCATATATCCCCCTCCCAAACACACGCAGGCAAGAAGTAGTAACGATGTAGCCACAACTCTACATTAAAGGCAGACAAAACTAGTCCCCATTCCACGGATAAGTACGCATGTTTTGTAAGGACAGAGTATTGAAACGCATCAAGTACAATAATAGGGTTAAAACCTTCCAAAATAAAGTTCGGCAAACAAATTCTAGAAAGCACTAAATGGTGGTGATGATGGTATGAGAGAGCATCCACTTCTACAATAAGGAGACTGAGGCAGAACCAACATCTGTGTGGGGAGAACCATCAACTAGACTTCCATTTTCTCATTCCTGCAATGATAAAACTATAAGAACCTTGCAAAATTAATCTTACTCCAACAAACACCTATTTGGATTTCCAAAACTTACATCAGCATCATAACGAGGAGATGGACTACGAGAATCAGCCCGACGTCCACGGGGTGACACACTTTTTGGAGTGAGAGAACGTTCATTGTGATTCGCTGCAATTGGGCTTCTTTCCTTGGGAGAGATCCTGGGAGATGGACTCCTCCTTGGACTTAGGCTACGCCTAATCGGAGATGCACTTCAACATGGAACAAAAAATGAGACATGTAGCTCTAGTCGGCAATAATAAATAAGATAGATAGTATCAGTTTGGTAGAGAAAAGGCTTTCATGTTTGTCTGGTGAGCTTTGTTTGGTTGTTAAGCAAAAAAAGCAGATACACCAAAAAGGGAGAGATCCCAGGCAAATATAACAAATGTAAAAAAAATGAAGAAATTGCCTACCTTCTGTCAGAAGGAGTCATACTGCGCCTCTCATCATCATATCTTCCTCTACTACCACGATATTTGCGATTATCAGGACTAGCGCTCCGGCTTCTGCTTCTGTAATGGTAGTCTCTTTCCCTACCACGGTATCGATCACGCTCATATCTTCCTCTACTTCGACTCCTGCTTCTCCTCCTATAATCCCGCCCACTGCTGTAGTGATCTTTGTACCTGTGATACCAGTTCAAAGGATAACAGGATAGGAGATATGGATAATTTAGATTATGATTCATGGAGCTATCTTAATCTTAATAAAATTGCAACCATTGTTGAAAAAAGAACTCATGTGGTAGAAAACCATATCCATGAAAAAGAATAGTCTTGCTTCAGAAGCAATCTTTCCTTCGGTGAAAAATGGAAAAATGAATTTATCACAAAGCAATAAACACTTGTACAGAACTCAACAATTCAGAAAACCTTCATAAGATTTAAGATGTACGGTATATAATATAATTGTAAAATGATTGTTTTGACTAAGACAACAATTATGGAATGACAGGTTGACTTTTTAGTATTACAGAGTATAAATTTTATAAAATAACAGTACATAATCATAGCGGAAAAAAAAGAGAGGAGGAATTACCTTGGCTTGGGACTGAAGCTTCGTGACCGTCCTCGTGTCTTGAATACAGGCTCTTCAATTCTTCCCTTGTGACTGGAATGGATAAATATATCCTTTATTATTTAAGTTACAATGAAACAATAATCTATGAAAAAGGTGCAGGCGAATCGAACAACTTGAAATTGTTAAAACTTCCTTACATCCTTTCAGCATTGGGTCCATACTTTGCAAACTGGACCATTATTTCTCTTCCATCAACAAGTTTCCCTACACATCAATACAAACAGAGAATTACAATTACTAACACTCATAAATTTGAGGAACGAAATTACTTCTTTAATCTGTTAATATTTAAACCAAAGCTTACCATCAAGTTTCTCTACGGCCTTTTGGGCTTCATCCTGGTATTTGTACCTAACAAAAGCAAAACCCCTCGAGTCCCCTGTCCTGCATGCAACGTATTCCACAGCACCAGTAAGAAGTAGCAGACAATCTGCATCTAGATTCTAATAAATCCTGGTTGACAAGGATGGATTTTTTAAAATCCCAACCAACATAAAAAAAAATACATCTACTTTCGAGTGGTAAGAGATATACATATAGCTGCAACCAAGATATACATATAGAAGAGCACGGAAAGATGCATATACCTTCGGTCTCTTGGGATGAAGACGTCCACCACTTTCCCATGCCTATCGAAGAGGGGATACAAATCATCGGCGGTGGTACCTGGAGCAACACGTAAAAATTATACAAAAATGTTGAATATTTCACGAGGAAAACTGCTATGGAAATAGAGAACTGAACACTTACGGAAAGTTATGTTGAGAACGAGGAGGGAGAATGTATCTGTAATATCCGGCGGGCCAGATCTGCCGAAGTGCGACATCGCCGGCTGCTTCAGGAGCTCGGAACTCTCTCGAAGAAACTTGGAAGAATGTTAGGGTTTGTGACGACTAAAGTGTGGGTTTGATAATCCTTGCAATCATAGCAATCGCCTAATTTATTGTGCGGTTTGGTGCGGTAAATTACAACTATCCGAGGTTAATACTATTATACGGAGTATGAATCTAGTTGAATAATAGAATTTTGTATTTGTATTTGTTTAATTTTTTCGAGTATAAATTCGAATTCAAATATAAAACTAATATTAATTTTGATTTGTATTTGTATTCATTTAACAATACGAATATCAAATAGATTTGAGCATAGGTTAAATATTAGTCAAATATCACTTAAAATTAAATTTACTTATATTTTTTTATGTTGTAAATGTACGCTATGATTTAATACGTAGTACTCCCTCCGTCCCCTTTTAAATGGGACGGGAGATGGTGGCACGAGTTTTAAGAAAAGTGAGTTTGTATGGTTGATATTAATTGATAAAGTAACAATAAAGTAAGAATGATTTTGAGCCACACAAAGTTTATCAAATAAGGTATGGGGCAATTAAATAGGAACATCCCAATATGGTAAAACGGGACATTTAAAAGGGGACGGAGGGAGTGTGTTTTTAGAATTTAAATTCAATGGATCAATGCATTTTTAGATTGTGCACGATATACTAAAGTGAATCAATTTTATGATTAATAAATATGAATCTATTTCAAACTTTTTGAAATAAACACTAACACACAAATATTAGAAATTACACTTATAATGTGTGAAATAAGTTGATAATTGTATATATCAAAGTCAAACGACTCTAATTTTATTCTGTGAATCGAATTGGGAAAATTATTTGTATTGTATTTGAAAGACATTTGAACCAAAAATCCGATTTGTATTCGTATTTATACTCTGATTTATTACAAATGTACTTAGAATCTGTATGCGTAAATGTATATATGAACTACACTTTAGGGTATTGTTATCTTTTAAAAGTTATTATAGTGTTATTACTATTATTAATAATAATATTATTATTATTATTAATATTAATATTATCACTATTATTAATCGAATATATTTGATTAATATTCGAATCGAATACACTGATATTCTTATTTGTATTTGATAACAAATCGAATCAAATTTAATATTCATATTTGTATTTGAATTTTCCGAATTCGAATCGTCTTATACGAATTCGAATCACGAATCGAGCACAAATTATTTGATTCGTTTACAACCCTAATTAATACGTCGTGGTAAATTTCAACTAAACGGGAAGTTTTAATTTATTATGGAAAAAGTGCTCCTTTAAAAAAAGTGGAAAATTATATTAATTTCTTCTTTTTGTAGATGCAACATAATTAAATTTTACATCATTTATATGTTCTATGTTCTACTCTAACTAATTTTATTTATTAATTTATTATAAATTTGTTTTTGATAAAAAATACTATTAAAACTATCTTATAAAACATTAATGACCAAACTTGTGCATTCACCAATGAGAAAATGAAATGTTGCATTAAAAATAGAACGGATAAAGTATGATTGAAGCTTGTGACTCCTAAAGATGACAAATAATACTATACAATTATTATGTCTATCTAAGTATTTCACGGTTATTAAGAAAAGAAATAGTAAAGGTAGTACTCCGTATAAAGTTTGTAAGACAGTGAAAATGTAGGAAATAAATGGAGTAAGAAAAAAAGTAATAAAAATAAGAAAAATGGGGTAGTCCCTAAAAACTAACCAGTACAAAATTAAGAGTAATAAAAGTGAGAATATAAACTAACTTTGATTGAAAACATACTAAAATTAGAAAGAAAAACAAATAACAAAAAAATTCTCTAAAATGAATACGGAATAATTAATAAAGAATGGAGAGAACATATGTGAAAGTGGCAAAAATCTTTGAATACGCAAAACAGAAAAGGAATTTTATCAATTGAGGGCCCCAAAGATAAATGAATTATCAATCCGGAATCTGAAAGATGAAATTTATCAATATAGGACCCGAATGATGGAAAACTATCAATCTATGACCTAAAATTTCATAGGTTTTGGTTTATTTAATTTTTTATTAATTCCATTTCTAATTTTTTATATACCTTTCTTCACAAAAGTTTATTAGTTTAATAAAATTAAATAATATTTAAATTTTCAAAATAAAAATAAAATTCACGACAACTTTTGTTCGTTCTTTCTCATGTCATTAATCAAGTATTTAAAAGTAATACGTGGAGTTTAATGTTAACTATACTCATTTTCTCCAACAAACATAAAGTTAATATGGAATTTAACATAGGTTGGGCAATTTTAATTTTTTTATTTAAGAATTTTATTTATGAAACGATTGTGCAATTTCACACGATACCAAAGGAACTAACGAGATCAAATTTCTTAAAAAGCTACTCCATATAATGTATCCATTGAATGCAACATCATATATTCTTTCTTAGAGAGCTATTCCGGTCAGGAATTTCCTGACCGGAGCTCCGTCTGGCCTCCTCCATTTGGGGGCCTTCCCGGTGGTATTTTTTGCTCACATTTTTTGTGTATGTTCCTCATCAAGTTTAGTTCATCCATACTAAATTTCAGCAAAAAATTCAATCGGGAAGGTCGTCAAATGTTTTTTTCAAGTTAACTGGTCCAGAATATGTATTTTCCGGACCAGTTAACTTTCAAAAATCATTTGACGACCTTCCCGATTGAATTTTTTGCTGAAATTTGGTATGGATGAACTAGACTTGATGAAGAACATACACAAAACATTCGAGCAAAAAATACCACCGGGAAGGCCCCCAAATGGAGGAGGCCGGACGGGACTCCGGTCAGGAAATTCTTGACCGGAATATCTGTGTTCTTTCTTAATAGTATAGTAATACTCCGTATTATTATCTACATTACAAAGTGACGTTAAATGTACTTACATATTTACGTACATACGTGCATACACACACATACTGACATACATAGATAAAATAGTTCAAAAAAACTCATTTGTACATACATATTTACGTGCATACGTGCAAAATCTGGGGATCCTCAATTTGGATTTCAATGGAGTCTTTAAAATCCAGGTATCCACAAACATTCTATGGATTTCACAATTTATTTACTTTCATGGATTTTAAAAGATTGTAATGGATTTCTATGCCAAATAATAGAATAACTCAAATCCATCGCATTAAAAAAGTTCCTTCTCCTACGACCTCGCACCATCTATGTCGATTTCTCCTTGGCACTCCAGGTATGTTTCTTCTACCTTCTGCCGTCTTCTTTCTTCTACCACCGACTATTTTGTTTTCAGTTTATGGGTCCTTCCATCGTTCCTCTACTCCCTCTACTCCCTGTATCTTTTTTGAAGGTCTAAACTCACACCCATTCATAAGAACATTTGATTGTAAATTATAGGAGCTTTTTTCCACTTCTTTTTTATGTTTAAACAATGTGTACAGACGTACAAACGGTACAGTTCAATATCTCTTATCAAAAGGTTAATTAACTTATTAGGTCCCGTATATTCCAGCATAATCCATTGAAATCTGTTATAAAAGTAGAAAATGCAGCATCAAATGGAAAGATGGTCTATAAAAAAATGTGTTGAAATCTATTCAAATCTGTTGAAATCTATGATATAGAATTCCATAAGATTCTATTAAAAATCTATGGAATCTCCGGAAATCTATTAAAATCCATGAGATTTACAATCCTTTAAAATCCGTGTTGAGGACACCCCTATATGATTACAAAACAACATCATGTATCAAAAGTGGATTTTCTCTAGTAGGCCTATATTGAGCTCTAAGTTATCGATTCCAATCAGATGCAATTTGAAGATCACAAAACAAAGTGTAGATTGTTCTAAGAAAAATAATACAAGAGCATTAACGAAGTCAACAACAATAACAAAACAGGGCAAAAATATTAATTCCTGCAGAAAAATGAAATTCAAATTACGGTTTCCTTTTCTTCTGTATACGAAACTGTTCATAGAGCTCTAGTGATGATGTTGTGTTGTCCAATTCAGCCCTTAGCCGTTTGTTTTCTGCAATGTCACGGATTTCGAGAAAATGTTTAGTTAACTTCTTCCTAACCACATCCATATCCACCTGAACCGTCAAATCAACGTTAGTTAACCCTGTTCCAAAAGAGGTGGGGCCCTGTTTCCGCTTAAACTTTGGCATCTTATTGTCACTCCTCGGGATGAAGGATTCCTTTTCGAGTGATAGTTCCATAAATGCCTGCTGAGGAGAAGTGTTGGAATGAAGAATCTGGTTGTTTGCCGTGTTCATGGCTGAAACGCCAGATGCCATTGTGGACACAGATGGATGGTAATGCTTCATTAAGAGATTCAGCTCCCAAAGGACTGATGAAAGTGCCCCGCTGAGGTTTGGGTCTGTTGCATAAGGGTGATATCTCTACGGTAGAAAGAAAAAACATCAGAATATCTTTGTTGGGGTTTTTAATTGCAGACCATCAACCATAACATATTTCATGGTTTTATTGTGAACTTCTAAGCGAGCATCACTTTTCAAATTAGGCTACGTTTGGACCCTAGAATATGCTAGGGGAAGGAATCATATGGTAATGAGTTACTTTGTTACGCATGAGTTTACCATAAAAAATGGTAAGGACAATAAGACATGAATACTTAAAATTTATGGGAGTAGAAATGAGTTTAGTTAAAAGAGTTTTTTCAAAAATATTGCTTAAATAAAACTTAGGGGAGATTTGCAATTGTAGTCCTGTAACTTTCAGATGTTATCGTTGTTAGTCTTTTAACTTTAATCTCTTGCAAATTTGGCCTCGTAACTAACTAATAAATTTGTGCAACTTAAGGACTTTCCCACCGGAGATTACACTTTCCAGCAGAAAATCCAATGTCAGCGGCATCTTTTCCAGCATATTTTTGCTGGGAAGTGTACTTTTGAGGGGGCAAGTCCTTAAATCACAAAAATTTACAGACCAAACCTGCAAGTGACTAAAGTTACGGGGCTAATGATGAAAACAACCTAAAGTTATGGGACTAAAGTTACAAAAATATGACTAAAATTACTACTATAGTCACTATATTTAAGATGTAACATTTTTGCAAAGAATATTTATTTGATTCATAAATATGTAATTATTTCTTAGTTAAATT